TTCCCCAGAGAGATGGATTTTAGAAAGAGGACACAAATCAATGAAGAGAAACGAAGAATTCTAAAAGGTCTCTATATTAAACAAACAAGAATAAAATTCTTTTCAAATTTGTTTATAGGTATTTTAAAAATAGTTTATAAAAAATGAAATTTCCCGAGTTTCAGGACCTACCTTAGGGTCTCCATTTTCACGTTTTAAAGTATGAAACAATTTGAGACACCCAGGACGTAGAAAAGTTCTATGAACGATTGAGCTTACGGATGCCACTTTCACATCCCCTTAATGGCGATGATTCAAGGCGTTGAAATGGATCAAAGTAGGATGATGCAATGAACATCTTGCACCGTGCATTCGTAGGCAAATGCCATTGCCAATCAATTCACAGACGACGTTGCTTTAACACTACTACGCAAAATACACGATACACATCGACCTTGGGCAAAAACTAACCTGTTCATTTCAATCGTTGACCAGAGCAATTAAATAATATATTCAGAATTAATTTAATTTCTACCCTCTACACATATCAGGGATGAAAATTTAACTAAACATGGATCCACCCGCACACAAAGTCCAGCTCAGGCTTAAGTAAAATGACGTAATAGTTGAAACAGCGCAGTCTGTGAATCCACCTTTCGGAAACGCCAGGAAACTGTGGGCAGGAGCGAATCGCCTTTCCGAAAAGTAGTGACTCCTTTCAGGACATGGAAAGTACTCAAGGACAGTGGCATGCACCCCTTTCGAGATACGTGCATACGAGACGTAAGAAAATACTTACTTTTGGGATTTAATTGTCGGAGCTTGGCTGAGAGTACATGTAATTCTGGTAGCCCGTGGGAAAGGGAGGATTTTGCTGTGTAGTCTGGGGTTGGGCCCCCGAGCCAGCAGCTGCGGCCGCAGCTGCAGCCGCAGCCGCGGCCGCAGTACCCGCACCAGGGGCGTAGTAACCCGCAGGGGCCGATCCAGCGCTCATGCCGGGGTAGCCGCCATAGGTCTGCGGAAAAACGCCTGGCGTGCCCCCTGGCGGACCGCCCGATTGAGGCTGCATCGCTTGCTGCATCTGCGGCTGCGCCATTTGATTTCCTTGCATACCCAACTGTAAAATAAATGTGGACATCAAACTAACGTATGCGAGAACGATCACACGCTTGAACGCACATGTTTTGTTTCTAAAAGTGATGTATATCGAATTTAATTTAACGTCGAGTGGTGTATATTGATCGAAATATGAGAGCTCGACGCCATTTTGGTTCTGCTAAGTTAAAAATTTATTTCCCAAAATCCAAATTTTAAATGTGTCAGGACAATTCGTAGATGATCAGGTGTGATGTGTCAAAGTTTCGGACAGTTTGGTCTAATACCCTTAAAAAAAAGTGTTGTATTCGAATCGACTGATTTGAAGGGGGTTTCACTTCACCTTAAAGCTTTCAAAGGCGTTATCTATAAAAAATATGTGTTGACGATGCCATTTTGGCTCTAGTTGGGGGTAAATAAATTTCAATATAAAATTTCTTTATCATTAGGATGTTACGTAGGGTTTCCACATTCACTTTCTGAAGTTTCAAATGATTCGGTGCACCCAGTTCGGAGAAAAGTATTATAAATATTCTGACGCTTCAGAGGCCAGTTTCATATCACCTTAAGGTGAAATGAAACACGTCGAGGAACTTGATCGACGTCGATAAAGAAGATTTTTCTAAATGCCTACGTTGCCGACGTTCGTTTTTATATTGACAGTCATGTAGAAATATATTGAGTATTGCACTAAATGGCATACGCCACCTGTCGTTTTCGTACATTAATAATAAATAAATCGAAGTAAAACTCTAGAAATTCTCTGGATTCAAGTTTTCTGGGGCCCCAATTGACTGCAGAGGGACACCCTGCGCCATCTGTGATTTCCAAGTCAATTAAATTTTCACTCCGAGACCCCGTATTATCATCGTTTTAGCATAGAAGCGCATACAACACTTTTTTTGCCCTTATTCCGTTCAAATGCGAGTTTATCGATTACCAGAGTGTTCTAAATTGTCGTAAAATTGTCCTGACCCTTTCGATTCTCATATCAGAGCCTTCGATAATTGTATATTTATCGAAATATGAGAGCTCCACGCCATTTTAGTTCAGGTCTGGGCTAAGTTAAAAAATTTTTTCCAAAAATCCAAATTTTGAATGTGTCAAAACAATTCTTAGATGATCAGGAATGATGTGTCAAAGTTTCAGACAGTTTGGTTTTACCCCTAAAAAAAAGTGTTGTATTCGAATCGACTGATTTGAAGAGGGTTTCACTTCACCTTAACGTATCTATATATTCCATTCAATGAAGTCTGGTTTAAACGTACCTTTCCTGCCTTCATTTGCGCTTCGATAGCTTCGGCTTCTTTGACTTTTCCTATACTTCTGTAATACTCTGCCCACTGAGCGCTGTAATCGGCTTGGCCACCGTTTTGCGCGGCTCCAGGTTGTTGTTGTTGCTGCTGCTGCTGCTGCTGTTGTTGTTGTTGCTGCTGTTGCTGTTGTTGTTGCTGCTGCTGTTGTTGACCCGGACCTGGTTGACCACCTGGACCTTGATTCGACTGAGGTTGTTGATTTGCTATAATGATGACAAGATTTAGTCAGCGACTCGTAACCAACTCCTCCATCTTTGCAACTAGTTGATGTGTTTATTAATCGCAAGAAATAAAAGATTCCTTTCTTTTTCATAAGTTTCCTTTCATTCGATGATTTTGTATAGATGAATTAAGACGACTAAAATTTACCTGGTTGTTGATTGTGATCCTGCTTGCCCTGCTTAGCCTGTTGTTCTACCATCTCAGCTTCTCTAGTCATTCCGAGGGATCGATAGTACTCTACCCATTGAGCGCTGTAGTCTAGTTGCCCAGTTTGTGGGTTTAATTGGACCGGGGCTTGGTTTACGTTTCCACCTGTTAAAACACGGTGAATAATTGTAAAAAGTACTTTTCTTTTCCACTACCTCAACTTCGATGCAGCACTACCAACAAAATCAGCTTATTACCATAAAGCATTTGACGACTCTACAATAAGTAAATAAAAACTACAAGTCTTAAGATAGCGCGGTTATCTGGATAAGTGGACAACCAAAGCATTTACGATATACTGAGAGATGTAATTAACACTAGGTTTACGGGACTCGTCAATGTGACGGAATTCAGACTTCGAAAAGAAATACCGAAAAAACCATAGCATTCATTTTAACCATTTTTCTACCGTAAATTAATCATTTCATCCAAAGAATTTATACACGCAATTATTTTTTCCTAAGCCTTCTAATTATTAAAATCTGTATGTGGTATACCTATCTCTACGAAACCCGTCAAATTGACGGACTAGCTAATTTCATAAACAATCCATATATATTTGCTTCTTTGTAGTGAGTGTAAGGATGTTTCTCAAAGACAGGGTGCAAAAGTTTCAGCTATTGTAGACAGTATCTTCTTATTGTAAGTATCTACAACAGGGTAATTGAATTTGAGCACAGTATTTTTTTTATTTCGACCAATCTCCCTTTTCTAGAAATCATAAGTAAATCCAGGAGATATAATAAGACATTGAACAAATTTGTCAACATCAATGAAGATTATTCTGAGGATACCTCCAAAGATCAATATGAATTACGCCAAAGCGAAGATGAGAGTGAAAGTTTAGAATGCATTGAAAGTGGAGAGACAGAAGGATCTTCGGATAGTAAAGTGGAAAAATTCTTGAAAGTGTGTCGTAGCAAGAAATAGATGAGTGTTCTTTTTAGTTCTGACTCCGAGGATGAGAGGACGAGCATTCCAATCATTTCCGTGATAATTTTTAAAAAAGGACTTTCTTACTTATTAATAATTTATTTATACGTAAAGCCTAGTGTTGTTTAATTCTGACTTAACCCTCTATGGGTCGAATTTTTCATTAAAAAAAAAAAATTGGGGGAACGAAAAATCAGCAATTAGGAACCTATATATGCAAATGAAAAAAAAAATTTGTCATTTAAAATGTGACCTGAAAGTTACACGGGCCCATAGAGGGTTAATTTGAATAAATCTATTTTTTTAAAGAAAATCCGTATTTTCGTTTACCCGTCAATTTGACGGGTGCTCGTAGAAATAGGTATATAAAAAACGCCCGTAAACCTAGTGTTAAATTCTTTTTAAAGGGTAGGGGGCTTTACTACGAACGATTCAACACGTACTAGGATCATTAGGCTGGGGTTGATTGGGCCAGGACTGGTATCCTGATCCTGCATTCCAATTGGGATTATATGCAATGGGTCCTTGACCACCGCCATATGGAGGTCCGGCAGGTCCCTGAAATTCAATACGTGAAATATAAATTCAATCTCCTCGGACATTCACGAGAGAAATAATTCTCTCTCCCTCTTTCGTTTGGCAAAATATATACCATTCCCAATTTTTCGCTGAAGATTCTCTTGGCATGCTCCACTTGATCAGGAGTTCCACGAATATTAAAAACTTGTTCGTTTTCATTGGTTTGGTTCCTTCGATCTAACTCGCAGTGTGCACCGGTTTGTTGATTTATTTGTTTGATCGTCTCGCCGCCTGGTTATTCATAATGACAAATGGTATAAGTAAATTGTGGAACGATAGAACAATATTTTAGTTAGTATCAAATAAATTAAATGCAAATGGCGATAGAAATTGGCTTACCTTTACCGATAATGATACCACATTTCGCTTTAGGTACGGTGAATGTCGTTTCAACTTTATCTTGCATAGGTCCACCTTGGCGTCTGTCCCAACCGCCGCCATATTCAGAATTTCGTCCACCACCAAAACCGTTTCCTCGTGGACCTCTTCCACCCATGGTACTTCTTTGATCATCTCGCCTCTTAAAGACAAAAGATCACAGTCATGTGCATGTACTTTGAATATACTATTGCGTTACAAAAAAGTATTCCTGTTAGTTAACCGTTTGACTGCTACGCGGCGCAAAAGCGCTGCGTTCGTTTGTCTCGAAAACCGCGATGCAGCGCTTTTGCGCTGCGAGTTTCAGTGTTTCTTTGTTGCTCCGCAGTTTTCGTGCGTTCTTGCAAAAATTGCTTAGCAGTCAAACGGTTAAACTATATGCAGTCCCACTTACTGCGAGTACAAAGGACCACGCATAGTGGCATAAAATCGGCATTAGTGAAGGTAACAATCTATATACATATGAAAATACATCCGCTTGCTTAACGTTAATATATAAAATCTACGAGAAGAAAAACTGTAACGCTACAACGAATTTATGTCAATTTATCATTACACTGTCGATGAGCTCCTGGATTCGTTGTCTGGCCTGCTCAACAGCTTGATGTTTTCCAGAGAGTAAACATTTTCTGTCTCCAGGTCCATCCTCCCTCCCTTGCTGGAACTGTACCCTTGCTCCGGTTTCGGCTTGTATTTTCTTGATCATGTCACCTCCCTTTCCGATGACGACCCCAACTGCGGCTCTTGGTACGAGCACTTCAAATGAGTAGCGGTCGTTCTAAGAAAAAATAAAAAAACATGTGCCAATGCGCCATATTCCCACTGAACACCAAACCTAACAGTTACGTAACTTAAAACTAACAAATAACATAACGTTTGTTACAATGTAATAACCTAACGGTTACATAACATAGAGCTAACTAGTTACATGACATTTGTTACAATGCAGTAACTTAACAGTTATGTAACATGGAGTTAACGGGTTACATAACATTTGTTACTATCATATCTATATAAATGTAGCATAACTTTGTTACTCTCATCTTACATTATGTTACTATCCTGATACTACTGTGTATATGCAGTACATATTTGTAACAAAACGGAACTATATCGGTGCTGACTGTCATTTATTTCATTACATCATCGTCATCGTCATTGTCATAAGATTAATGTATGTCATATTTTGTTTACTACTCGTATTAAAAAATGTGACTTTAATTCATACGCGTATGTACATTATCAGTCATTGTTTGCTAGTTGAATGAAATCCTAATTGTCTTCAAATAAAATCAGATAGTTTATCGTTACATAATTTCATTGAAAGTCTGATTTGTCATTTAATATCTAACTATTGTCAAGTAGCAAAAAATAATTAAAAATAAAAAATTATATAATTTTGGATAAAATTGCGTCATCTCCTTTATTAAATGTATGAAAAATTTATATTATTTTAAGGTAACTGAAATTCTAACATCAATATAACACGTTACATAACATGTTACCTTACCGAGTGGGAAATAATAACTAACATCTAACTTCCATGTTACTTTTATGCTACATAACATGTTAGTTTCGAAAACGTAACATTTACTCAACAGTTATATAACAGTGTTCACTGGGTTATGGTTCAATTCAAATAAGGAATTCAGATCAAAAGAAAAAATTTCTGAACTTAAGGTTTAATGTTAAATCGGTAAGGTTTAATGTTTTAATCGGTTAAACGTGTTTTTTTTTTTTATGTAAAACTTATGTGGCACCCGAACCTCGACCATTTAAGGTGAAGTGAAACCCACTTCAAATCAGTCGATTCGAATACAACACTTTTTTTTAAGAGTATTGGATCAAACTGTTCGGAATTTTGTCACGTGACTCGTGATCATCTAAGAATTGTCCTGACACATTCAAAACTTGGATTTTTGGAAAAAATTGTTCAACTTAGCCCAGACCAGAACCAATATGGCGTCGAGCTCCCATATTTCGATCAATATACAATTATTGAAAGCTATGACATGAGAAATAAAAGTGTCAGGACAATTATGCAACGATTCAAAACACTCTAGTAATCGAGAAACTCGCATTTGAACGAGATAAAGGCAAAAAGTGTCTTATGCATTTCTATACTACAACGAAGGTAATGCGAGGTCTCAAAAGGAAATTTAGTTGCCACTAAAATCACAGATGGTGTAGAGTGGTTCTCTGCAGTCAATTAAGGCATCGAAAACATTGAATTCAGGAGATTTCTGGAGTTTTTCTTCGATTTCTTCATAATTATTGTACAGAAACGATATATGGAGTATGCCATATACCCAATATAATACCCAATATAATTCGACACAAATGTCGATATGAATACGAACGTTGGCAACGCAGGTATTTATACAAATCTTTTTTACCGACGTCGATCAAATTTCTTGACGTGTTTCACTTCATCTTAATTTGACAAATCAATTTGTTCCGATGAACAAATGTGAAAATATATCTGACGATCTATTATCCGCACATCAATTAAATTTGTACAGATTGGCTTGTACAAATTCATTGTTACGTGTGTAGTCACCTTAATGGCCAATTGCAGATGACAAAGGTTTCATATTAGAACATACCTCCATGCCTTCGTTATTCGAAGGCCCGTGATTAAAACCATTATCGTTAGAATAATTTCCCCCTCTGTCGCCGCCCCTTCCTCCTCTGTGGAACATTTGCATTTCTTTTTCAGCTATCAACTCGTACACCAACTGTTTTGCGTACTCCACCTTTTGAGGGTCGCCCGTTATTCTGCACAAAAGAAAGTAGAAATGTTAAACATACCTAAATGTTGTCCTAAATGAAAAGAATACATAGCTATTTTCTACATTAAATGCAGGTGGTGAGGAAGGCCACTTGAAACGGTCAGTTGCTTGGACAGACTTTTTCAAAAGATGGATGAACCGATTCGTCCCATTTTAAGGGGATGTGAAAGTGGCATCCGAAAGCTCAGTCGTTCATAAAACTTTTCTGCGAACTGGGTGTCTCAAATCGTTTCATACTTTAACACGTGAATATGGAGACCCTAAGGTAGATTCCGAAACTCGGGAATTTTCATTTTTCTTAACTATTTTTAAAATACCTATAAACAAATTAGAAAAGAATTGAAATTTCATGAGTTTCAGGATCTTCCTTATAGTCTCCCTATTCACGTTGTAACGTTTCAGACTATTTGGTAAACCGAGTTGGGAGATAAGTTTTATAAACAAAACCGTTTCGACGCCACTTTCACATCACCTTAATATGTGATTATGGAAATGCAGAGACAGACCGTTCCCAGCACTCAAGGACCTGCATTTTTCAAAACAAATTTTCAGCATAAACCAAGCAATTACAAAGACATTATAAATTCGGCATAGACCAAAACCAAGATAGCGTCATATCACAGATTTGTACTATTAAGGTGAAGTGAAACCCCCTTCAAATCAGTCGATTCGAATACAACACTTTTTTTAAGGGTATTAGACCAAAATGTCCGAAACTTTGATATATCACTTCTGATCATCTAAGAATTGTCCTGACACATTCAAAATTTGGATTTTTGGAAAAAATGTTTTAACTGAGCCCAGACCAGAACCAAAATGGCGTCGAGCTCTCATATTTCGATCAATATACAATTATCGAAGGCTCTGATATGAGAATCGAATGGGTCAGGACAAGTTTACGACAATTTAGAACACTCTGGTAATTGATAAACTCGCATTTGAACGGAATAAGGGCAAAAAAAGTGTTGTATGCGCTTCTATGCTAAAACGATGGTAATACGACGTCTCGGAGTGAAAATTTAATTGACCTGGAAATCACAGATGGCGCAGGGGGTCCTTTGCAGTCAATTAGGGCCCCCGAAAGCATGAATCCAGAGGATTTCTGAAGTTTTACTTCGATTTCTTTATAATTATTGTACGAAAACGACAGGTGGAGTATGCCATTTGGTACAATACCCGATATAATTCGACCCAGCTGTCGATATAAAAACGAACGTCGGCAAGGTAGGCATTTAGAAAAATCTTTATCAACGTTGATCAAGTTCCTCGACGTGTTTCACTTCACCTTAATCACTTCCAGAAGGCTCTAAAGTAATAACTGAGAGTGCTAAAAATCATGTCCAACTATTTGAAACAAAATCGTCACGGAAAGTTATGCAATCGGACTCGAAAAAGGAAATAACCCGTTCCCGTGACTTTTAGTAGTACACTGGGAGACATCAATGCCCTCCCATCCTGCACAGGCGATGCCGCATCCGCAGGGGAGGCATTCATGTCCACCACTACACAACGTAGACATAACCCGTGCATTACACGTGCTCTCATTATAAAAAAATACAAGAAATCCGGTTTCAGTGGGTCGAAAGTATCTCGACAGTTCTAAATAAATGAAAATACATGCCTCAACGGTTTTTCTTGCTCTTGGGAAGGGCCATCTTGTATGACGACCATTTTGGCTCCAGACTTTTCTTGAAGCTGCTTGATGGTCTCCCCACCCTTGCCAATGATCAGGCCAACCTTCGGGCCCGGAATCATGATCTCGACGAAGCCAGGATGACCGCCCATCATGCCTCCACCTCCGCCACCCCCGCCGCCGCCCCCCATGCTCATGTCACCGATACCCTCGGTCCTGCTCCGCTGATTGACGATCGAGAGAATCAACTCTTTCGCTCGACTGAAACACATCGAGCCGTCCGTGTATAGCGTAAACCCAAGAGAGGCGTTTTCGTGCGATAAATATGTTCAACGGTGCACGACATATAAGAAGTTTGTTTGCAACACACAATTGTACGAGATACCGTGTATACCGTATAAATTCGACAGGCATTAATCGGTATAATGGCATTTCTAATAAATACAGTCTTTTGGTAATCTAACGAGACACATCAAACGTAAAAAATCTCATGTAAAATCGTCATAAGCATATCGAAATAGGCAGCGGTTTGCAATGAGTCTTCCTGTTGCGAATAACACGTCCCCATGCATATCCTATCCTCCTTTCTTCCATCTCTCTTTCTCTCTCTCTCTTTCTCTTTCTCTTTCTCTCTCTTTCTCTCTCTCTCTCTCTCTCTCTTTCTCTCCCTCTCCGTACCCTAGTGAAAGCAAAAAACTATTAGTAAGTACAAAATCATCAAATCAAAACGGTCACAACCAAGCGAAAGATTCTTTTTCTTTCTTTTCCCTGTTATTTTCCTTTTTTACATTTTATCCGTTTCTTTGCTTTTCTCTTTTCCTATTTCTTTTTTTCTTTAGACAAATTCGAATTACATCAACATATAATATGTAAAGACGAATGTCCGAGAGAACTCGGTACTCACATCCTGGAGCTAAATGAACGTTCTGTAAAAAAGCTGAGAATACCATTTTCTTCATGCGAGAAAGGTCAAACCTAGATATCGAGTAATTTCACAGTATCGGTGACAGTCATGAAATATTGCACGGTAATATCTCCATTTGGAGTATATACGCAAAATCAATCTTCCATTATGTGTCAAAATACGCACGTGACGTTCGACGTGTTTCAATGGGTTTTCGACTGGAACATATGCACAATAGTGTTTCGAGTAAAACGAGACAACGACAGACCACGGAAATATTTAGGCACAACGAGTTTACGATAATCGAAGAATTTGATACGAGGTGGGAAGAGGAAACCTTGCGACAAGATTGCCCTTACCCTCACGAGGCTCCACATTCGGAAATATCCGGCACGTCTGCGACGTAAAAAGAATTCTCCACTTGACCAGGGCGGAGGTGAAGTTCGTTTAGATTCGGCGACAAAGTACAGGTCTAAGGAGGATAGCGGATTTGCTTGGCGCAGTTTACTTGCATTTTCTATATATATATATATATGTATATATATCGTCCTACACCACCTGCTGCAACGTGGCACGCACGTGGTCTCCGGTGGATTCGATACAGCTAAAGACATTACCGGTACACAAGCGGTCCAATCGGAAAGTAGAGACACATTTGACTATCGGTACATTCGCAAAATTAATGGGATCTGCATTGCATACAAAGTATCCACTAAAAATAATTAGCAATTAAAATAAAGAAGGGAAAAACAAGTTACTTGACAGCTTCTCGCGAGCCAGTTAGGGTGCAAACCCGTTCAGGCAGCCCACCACTCTCTGGCGCCATTTGTATCTTACATCCTGTTTCGCTTTGCAATCTGGTTATTTGTTCGCCGCCTCTGCCGATTACTGTAAGCACACCACCAACCATCGTTAGAACTCGAGACGACGACCACGGCGACGATCCAACGATACGTCGCGGTACGGCCGTCCTCGACAATGTTAATTTACGGAATTATTCATGGTACATTCGTTCTCAACTGTCTACTAGGACTTGGAATTAAAGTGCTCCATTGGGCAAAGTATCGGATAACTTGAAGAAAATTTATCGATATCGCGTCGCTTTCATATCGATTTCTCGAGGATACCGCACCCATCCCAACCCTCCGGTGGCAGCCCTTCGTCGTGCCCGAATTATTTTTCAACATGGAACGCATGCGTCCAAACTTTAAGGTGAAGTGAAACCCCCCTTCAAATCGGTCGAGTCGAGTACAACACTTTTTTTTAAGGGTATTAGACCAAACTGTCCGAAACTTTGACACGTCACTCCTGATCACCTAAGAATTGTCCTGACGCATTCAAAATTTCGATTCTTCAAATCAATTTTTTAACTCAGTCCAGACCAGAACCAGAATGGCGTCGAGCTCTCATATTTTCATCAATATACAATTATATGAGAATCGGAATGGTCGGGACAATTCTACAATTTAGAATACTTTGGTACACACTCCGGATCATCTAAGAATTGCCCTGACGCATTCAAAATTTGGATTTTTCAAATCAATTTCTTAACTCAGTCCAGGTCAGAACCAAAATGGCGTCGAGTTCTCATATTTCGATCAATATACAATTATATGAGAATCGGAAGGGTCGGGACTATTTTACAATTTAGAATACTCTGGTACACACTCCTGATCATCTAAAAATTGTCCTGACACATTCAAAATTTGGATTTTTTATAAAAATTTGTTAACTCAGTCCAGACCAGAACCAGAATGGCGTCGAACTCTCATATTTTCATCAATATACAATTATATGAGAATCGGAATGGTCGGGACAATTCTACAATTTAGAATACTTTGGTACACACTCCTGATCATCTAAAAATTGTCCTGACGCATTCAAAATTCGGATTTTTCAAATAAATTTCTTAACTCAGTCCAGGTCAGAACCAAAATGGCGTCGAGTTCTATTATTTCGATCAATATACAATTATATGAGAATCAGAAGGGTCGGGACAATTTTACGACAATTTAGAACACTTTGGTAATCGATAAACTCGCATTTGAACGGGATAAAGGCAAAAAAAGTGTTGTATGCGCTTCTATGCTAAAACGATGGGAGTACGAGGTCTCGGAATGAAAATTTAATTGACCAGGAAATCACAGATAGCGCAGGGGGTCCCTCTGCAGTCAATTAGGGCCCCAGAAAGCAAGAATTCAGAGGATTTCTGGAGTTTTACTTCGATTTCTTTATAATTATCGTACGAAAACGACAGGTGGAGTATGCCATTTGGTACAATACCCAATATAATTCGACACAGCTGTCGATATAAAAACGAACGTCGGCAACGTAGGCATTTAGAAAAATCTTCTTTATCGACGTCGATCAAGTTCCTCGACGTGTTTCACTTCACCTTAACGATTACACGAATGTAACATTTGAATGTGAAATCGAAAGAACCCGTTATTTCAACTCGGCGGATTTTACTAGCTCTGTCATTCTGATCTTAGCGCCACCACTGAAGGGCACACTATTTCGGAACGGGAAACATTAGGTACGACTAAAAAAGCCAATAACCGTCGATTCCCCTACGATTTTCCCAAATTATCCTGATACCATCCAATCGGTCGTTAAGTTTTTCATGTCCTTTAACCCTATACGTACACGCCACGGTCCAAGAGAACACAATGGGAATTTGGAAGGGATCGTCCGTTCATATTATTTTACGTATCAAATTGCAGATCATATTCCCTCTTAACACACTGCGGACGAATCGTAAGAATTCTCGGGTTTTCATTAGAGCACAATAAGATCTTGCCCATGGGTACAATTAACAATAAAAAGACTGGTCCATAATGTGTTAAGCACAAAATGACTTATATTTCATTTCATATTCCAAAATCTGCAATTTACGGTTCAGCATTCTGAAATTCCATACTTGTAATTTGAAAGATATTGAGTTAAAATGTATTGGATAGACTTAACGTCGTATCAAATTGCAGATCATGCGAATCATAAGAATTCTTGGATTTTCATTAGAGCACAATAAGATCTTGCCCATGAGTACAATTAACAATAAAAAGACTGGTCCATAATGTGTTAAGCACAAAATGACTTACATTTCATTTCATATTCCAAAATCTGCAGTTTACGGTTCAGCATTCTGAAATTCCATACTTGTAATTTGAAAGATATTGAGTTAAAATGAATTGGATAGACTTAACGTCTGTAAGATACGATCTGAAGATACTCGTGAACGTGTAGGGTTAAAAAAACCTATACTTTTGTACTACTCTTGTGTTGCTAGTCCAACATGAAGACCAAAAATATTTGTATCCCCACATAAAAGAAAGAAATCCGTTTTGCGCATGTTCAAGATGAGCATCATAATGGTATTTTATGAATATTAACCATGAACCAGAAACAGTATATACAGCTTACATGCATATGTGTGACCATGTATAAGTATTTGTTTTTTTACTCATGTTATAGAATAGGAATACAATGGCACATGCGCAAAAAGATTACCTTCCTTTGTCTACCTGTTCGGCTAGGAATATTACCAAGAAAATACTAATGTGAATAATAGTTAAAAATAATTCTAAATAAACGCAAAAAATCCGTTTCTGGATGGAGATTACAAGAAGGTTGCTTCTATAAAGATAATGGTACTTTCTGAAGCGAATCGCGGAAGATACGTCTTGTACAGCGCCATCTCGTGGAGAATTGCGCAACTTTTAAGAATAATTCGGGTAAAGGCATTTTTAGCCAAAATATGGATCTAAGAAGAAAGGGATGTCAAGTATTGCAGTGCGAGTGAAGCTTAAAACATAAGGGGAAGAAAAGAGTAAGCAGCCATTTTTCGTTCGCTCGCGTTCCCGCATTTTCCAAACGGATATAAAAGAGCAATGTGAAGTACCCGGTAACTTTTAATATTGTATGCAATATTTATACCCTTAAGAACGTATAAAACAATTTCACGATCTTTACACTTTTTGCCATGCGCTTGATTTTATTTAAAAAAAAAAAAGCTCTGTACGTACAGTCGGTGACAATTTATTTGTTACATTATATGTTTTCTCATTTCAGATTCACGCTTATAATTACACACAAAGACTTATTTTTTTCTCTACAAATATTTTTATTTTTATGCAAGCAATACTGACATTGGTTCTCTTTTCTAGTAGCAATATCGATAGTCGATTCCATCGAAATTGCTTGAAAACTTCTGAAGAGAAAAATCTCAGAAGAAAGTACTACAAATAAAACGAAATTGATAGAAATATTAGTAAGTTTGACCTCATAACTGAACATTAAAAAATAATTCAACAAAATGCAGCCAAAGAATGATTCAGGTTGTGATCGTTCTACTAAATACCAAGAAAATGTTGTGTACATGTTTGAAGTACAATTTTTCTTCATTAAATGTTAACTAATATATCCATTTTTATTGCAGTGGAATACCTATTTTATCTAACAAAAATCAGTAATAGTTCATACATTTAATAGGTATTTAAAAAATATTCTTTGAAATTGATCAGAATGCAATTTTAATGTAACTAATAATTTGGCAACCGATATTGCCTGTCGTTGTTCATAAATGCGAGATTGCGTGTGTATGTGTAACAACGAAAGATGGCCGCTACACTGTTAAATATGTTTCAATATTTCTATCACTCTAAAATACAAATGTATACTAAAACCAGAAACAGCGTTTGCGAAATGAAAACTGAATAAATATATGCCACATATCAAAGAACACCATTTCCGCCGGGGAATTCGTACCAAATTAAAAAATTTTGAATTTTGAACAGTAAGATGAGGAAAATCAGTACAAATATTAACGTGAAATAAAACTTCTCCAAATCAGTCGATTCGAATAAGACACTTTTTTGAAAGGTATCCAACAGAACTGGCTGATATTTTAGCTCATGACGTATGGGCATCTAAAAAATATCCTGACACTCTCAAAAATTGGATTTTCACAAAACATTATTTTTTACGTGGCCTGGACCAGAATTAAAATGACGTCGAACTCTCATCTTTCGATCAATATATAATTATTGATGGCTCAGACGTGAGAAACGAAAGTGTCAGGACAATTGTGCAACAATTTAGAACATTCTAGTAATCAAGAAATTCGCATTTGAACGAGGGAAAGGCAAAAAAGTGTCTTATGCGTTTCTATGCTAAAACGATGGTAACAGGAGAGGAAATTTAGTTGCCGCTAAAATCACAGATGGCGCAGGGCGGCACTCTGCAGCCAATTACGGCATCAAAAATCACGAATCTAAGGCATTTCTGGAGTTTTACATAGATCTTTTTTAAAATCATTATACGGAAACGACATATGGAGTGCTATTCCCTACAATATCCAATGTAATACGAATCAGCTATCAATATAAGTATACAATAATTTCTCGAAAGGTTTTACTTCACCTTAATAAATGTACTACACGCGTGTTTCTCGTCACACATACAACTACATACGTGATAAAAAAATCAGTATATAAAAGTATGCAAGTTTTCGTATACATAGCTTATGATATTATGTCTATAAATTCTCACAAATATGAGCAAAAATTGGTATTCAAAAGGTTTCAAAATCTAGTGTACATGCCCTCTGAAATACGATTGCTCGTATACTAAAATTCCCAGCACAATTGTATACGAAATTTCTAAATATTGCATCTTGAAAGAAATCTTCGAATACATGTGTACTATATTTTCAAGACATTTTTAACAGTGTTCAGTCCCCTTCTTTTATATTTGGCGCTTCAGTCCCCACGTCCAGAATTTAACTTTATGTTCAATTACTTCATTTCTATATTCATGAGCCTGGCATATGCTTCTGTCTTAACTCTAACTTCACCGTAACTTAATTGATTACAGTGAAGAATTCACAGGGACCGTTTATGCGTTCCTTAACTGAAACCTAACCTCAGTGCTAGTACTAAAAAGTTATCAACTAAGAAACTTAATTTGTCCCGAGATTTAAAGGAAAGGCGCATCCGCGACGTACGGAAAAGTATACGTTGTCAAAAAATTCAGAAGTCTCCACAAAAGCCCAGAAGAATACCGATATTTGATACTGGATAAGTAATACGTTAGCCAACGAATGGCGGCGCTGTTACGATCCCAATCTCTTTTAATCTTACGATGATATATAGAGGATTGCATCATTTCTTTATCTTACACGCAGAAAAATAATATTGTAATCATTACATATGCCCGCGGGTAAAAAGTATGGTTGTAACCTTAACAACAATTATTGTAGATGTAATTACAATTTTTTGTCCTTTTAACCATTGCGGCTGTAGCACCAACTGCAGAATTCTTCTAAATAAATTGTAGTTATATTTGCATCTGACAGTGTTACATACGTAACATTGGAAAGTAAAAATTACACGTATAAAGTAACGGGTAAAAATGACCATCACAGTTGTAAAATTTGAAAACAAGAACTCTATTGAAAACCGTATAATATACCGTAGCACTGGTAATTTTTACAAGCGTGAACTGTTATTGTTCCTATTGTGCGTTTAAGGTGAAGTGAAACCCCCTTCAAATCAGTCGATTCGAATAAACTTCTTTTTAAGGGTATTAAACCAAACTATCCGAAACTTTGACACGTCACTCCTGATCATCTAAGAATTGTCTTGACACATTCAAAATTTGAATTTTTGGAACAAATTTTTTAACTTAGCTCAGACCAGAACCAAAATGGCGTCGAACTCTCATATTTCGATCGATATACAATTATCAAGGCTCTGATATGAGAATCGAAAGGGTCAGGACAATTTTACGACAATTTAGAACACTCTGGTAATCGATAAACTCGCATTTAAACGGAATAAAGGCAAAAAAAGTGTTGTATGCGCTTCTATGCCAAAACGATGGTAATACGAGGTCTCGGAGTGAAAATTTAATTGACCAGGAAATCACAGATGGCGCAGGGGGTCCCTCTGCAGTCAATTAGGGCCCCAGAAAGCATGAATTCAGAGGATTTCTGGAGTTTCACTTCGATTTCTTGATATTTATTGTACGAAAAAGACAGGTGGAGTATGCCATTTGGTACAATACCCAATATAATTCGACCCAGCTGTCGATATAAAAACGAACGTCGGCAACGTAGGCATTTAGAAAGATCTTCTTTATCGACGTCGATCAAGTTCCTTGACGTGTTTCACTTCACCTTAACGGTTTGAAAATTGTGAACTACAAAGCGATGCAGCACGCAGCTTCATTGACCAAAATTGAAATCAAGTAAGAATTAGGACTCGAGCATAAACGATCCCAGAAAAATTAGGATAGGGAAAGGATGAATTAAGGTATCTTTCCAGTAGCGTCAACATGATACTAAAACCTTGTGTGTCAGACTGCGCCATGAAAAGACCTGCAGCGCCAATTCCAATGTGACGATCGATCACGCAAGCTTTTAAATTTCTGCTGAAATACTGCTAGAAATCATTACGTTCGAGCGTCTGCTCGACGCCAATAAATTGCCACCTTTAGGGTTAGGATGGAAGCACAAAACAGGCTTAACTTTACGTTCCATCCCTTAACGCGACGCGAGAGGAATCCCTCCTTTATAAAACTTATCTCCAAACAGGACGTGCCAAATCATTAAAAAAATTACCATATGACCACGGAGGCCCGAAAAACCATCCCGACACCCATTAAATTAAATCAAATTAAATTGTTTATGAACGTGTTCTTAATTTTGTATAAAAAATAAAATTTCATGGGTACCGGGACTTCCCTTACGACCTTCATATTTATATGGTAATATATCAAACAATTCCTCATCCCCATTCGGCAGTAAAATTTCATAAACGATATCCACACGTTTCCGTTACCTTAATTCCTAGATCCATTTGAAGGCATACGAAGGGAGCGGGCGTCCCGGCAATTGAAGGGGCATACCGCGAAGAGTCTACGTGTACTTACTCAAGCCGACCATCTTATCCGGGACTCTGATGTCCTCGTTACAAATACCTCCAATAGGAGGCATGGGGACTGAAGGGGGGGCCGCCTGTGCGGGCATCCTTGCGGCCCCCGGCGTGGCTCCGTCGCCGACGCCGACACCGACGCCAACGCCGACGCCAACACCGACGCCGACGCCAACGCCGGGCGCCCCCACCCCCGCCCCCGCCACCGTGCCAACACCGGCCGCCGTCGGTCCGGGACGCAGGCCGACCAGCGGATCCACCACCAAAGTCGCCATCTTCTTCGCTTCGGGCTCTGCGCAAACAAATTATTCCTGGGGTTTTGCTTTTCACCTTGCTGGAAGTTTCCCTCTGCAGCTGAAATCGCCGGCGTAGCACCGCCAACGGAAGACACCCTCTTCGACGGATCGAACGCCTCGACGGGCCGGGAAATGTTTTATTAAGGTGAAGTGAAACCCCCTTCAAATCACTCGATTCTAATACAACACTTTTTTTAAGGGTATCAGACCGAACTGTCCGAAACTTTGGCACATCACTCCTGATCATCTAACAAGGAAACATTCCCAAGTGTCCGCCTGCGATCTTATTGAGTTTCATATATGTTGAAGAACACAAAAATCTAAGAGACACGTGTTTTTCTTATATCTGCAATGGTCCACATTTAAGGGGTGAAACNAGGAAGCAAGAATTCAGAGGATTTCTAGAGTTTTACTTCGATTCCTTTATAATTATCGTACGAAAACGACAGGTGGAGTATGCCATTTGGTACAATACCCAATATAATTCGATACAGCTGTCGATATAAAAACGAACGTCGGCAACGTAGACATTTAGAAAAATCTTCTTTATCGACGTCGATCAAGTTCCTCGACGTGTTTCACTTCACCTTAATCGTATTGAACAGTTAACGCACGTAAAATGACGTCCCGTGCTGCATTAAATTAAGTACATTCAACTAATGAAAGGGTCGCAAACATTGTTGGATAGTTATTGTCTTCAAGTGGTAAGAGAAAAAGAATATCGAGAAAAAATAGCGAACAGCGACCCCGCGCATTGAAAGAGAAATTTCTACGTTAAAGAGAACTATTATTAATTACTTTTGTCGCAAAATGCTCTTACGCGTTTGGTATTGATTGGTATTGACCTCACAGAATCATAGGCTGACTATTTCATATCACCTTAATTCTACAATTAACTTATAGGGTATTGCACTAACGAAAACGTTTACTCAAATTGTCAATATTTTTTAATGAATGAATGTAAATAGAAATAAATTGTAAAAAAAAGAATAAAAAATACGTACAAATGTTTCACTTCTCCATACGTTCCCTTTTTGAACATGCAAACTTATACTACCGTAACATAAGAGATTTCACTTGAAAAATCAAGTACACGACATTTCAGGAAAGTACCAATCTTGCGCCCATTTTTAGAATTCTGGAAAATTCCCGATTTTTGTGAATTTCAAAGAAATGACTTTAACGATAAGGTTACATAGAATCTAGAGAATTGTAATGAAGGTTTTAGAGATAATTTTTCGAATCACATATTAGATTAAAACAAAAAGTCGTACATACCAGTACATAAATATCATTTTAGGCTCTCGTGTACATGTCTACTTGAATAAAGGTATGGAACATTTTGAAGTGTTCTGAACATTTAATTTTCTTTCTCATGTTGCCTTATACGTATTGGTCTAACAAAAATAGCCATTCATACACGCGGTAGCAAACACATTAAGCAATTTTCCTTTTATTTCAGTTAACATTCACGACTACGGCTTACCTGAGCTATCTTCAAGAGGTCGTTTCAATTTGGGATCTGTATTATTTTGAGTCCCAGCATGTTTCATCTTAGCCGCTATCTGGAAAAAAGGGTACCATGAGAAAAAGGCAAAACAATAAGATTTATCAGAACTTCTAACACATCAGATCGACACAACACATGGAACCATAACGGAGGACTATACGGACAGTTATAGTAGAATTACACAATTACGTTATTATCCGATCACCCTGACGCTCGAAAGGAAGCATTTCGACTGTTTAATGCTCGAAGGAACGAGCGTTCTCCATAAAAGTCCACACGAGAGAAGTTTTAACACACGAAATGAGAAGAAATAATTTCCCCCAAATGTGATAAGCGAAACCCGAGATATATCGAGCATGGAGCTCCAAACGGCTTCTGACCTTAGGAAATCGATCTTAATCAAAACAAAGGAACTCTTCGAAAACAAAGGAACCCCTCTCAGAGTTCTCCTTTTCCACACACACCAAATTCAACGCCATCAGTGATCCCCCAGTGTATGTTCAATGATTGACAGTTAATATTTAAAAATAGTGAATAAATGCTAATCATTTGAGGAATCGTTTGCACGAAGAAAAACATTTTGGTGAATTATTAAAATATTTTTTGGTTATAGAATATGGTTATTATATAGACAACCAAATATTTGGTTGACACAACATTCTGTGATTAAAGTGAAGTGAAACACGTTGAGGAACTTTATCGACGTCGATAAAGAAGATTTTTCTAAATGCCTACGTTGCCGACGTTCGTTTTTATATTGACAGCTGTGTCGAACTATATTGGATATTGTACCAAATGGCATACTCCATCCGTCGGTTCCGTACAATAAATACCAAGAAATCGAAGTAAAACTCCAGAAATCCAGTGTATGTTCAATGGTTGACAGTTAATATTTAAAAATAGTGAATAAATGCTAATCATTAAAATATTTGGTTGACACGATAACATTCTGTGATTAAGGTGAAGTGAAACACGTCGAGAAACTTGATCGACGTCGATAAAGAAGATTTTTCTAAATGCCTACGTTGCCGACGTTCGTTTTTATATTGACAGCTGTGTCGAATTATATTGGATATTGTACCAAATGGCATACTCCATCTGTCATGTCTATACAATAAATACCAAGAAATCGAAGTTAAACTCCATAAATCCAGTGTATGTTCAATGGTTGACGGTTAATATTTAAAAATAGTGAATAAATGCTAATCACTTGAGAAATCGTTTGCATGAAGAAAAACATTTTGGTGAAACATTAAAATATTTCTTGGTTATAGAATATGGTTATTATATACACAACTAAATATTTGGTTGACACGACAACATTCTGGGATTAAGGTGAAGTGAAACACGTCGAGAAACTTGATCGACGTCGATAAAGAAGATTTTTCTAAATGTCTACGTTGCCGACGTTCGTATTTATATCGACAGCTGTGTCGAATTATATTGGGTATTGTACCAAATGGCATACCCCACCTGTCATTTTCGTACAATAATTATAAAGAAATCGAAGTAAAACTCCAGAAATCCAGTGTATGTTCAATGGTTGACAGTTAATATTTAAAAATAGCAAATAAATGATAATCATTAAAATATTTGTTGGTTATAGAATATGGTTATTATACAGACAACCAAATATTTGGTTGACACGACAACATTCTGTGATTAAGGTGAAGTGAAACACGTTGAGGAACTTGATCGACGTCGATAAAGAAGATTTTTCTAAATGCCTACGTTGCCGACGTTCGTTTTTATATTGATAGCTGGGTCGAATTATATTCGATATTGTACCAAATGGCATACTCCATCCGTCGTTTCCGTACAATAAATACCAAGAAATCGAAGTAAAACTCCAGAAATCCAGTGTATGTTCAATGGTTGACGGACCAAATGGCATACCCCACCTGTCGTTTTCGTACGATAATTATAAAGAAATCGAAGTAAAACTCCAGAAATCCTCTGAATTCTTGCTTTCTGGGGCCTTAATTGACTGCAGAGGGACCCCCTGCGCCATCTGTGATTTCCAGGTCAATTCAATTTTCACTCCGAGACCTCGTATTCCTATCGTTTTAGCATAGAAGTGCATACAACACTTTTTTTGCCCTTATCCCGTTCAAATGCGAGTTTATCGATTACCAGAGTGTTCTAAATTGTCGTAAAATTGTCCTGACCCTTTCGATTCTCATATCAGAGCCTTGATAATTGTATATTGACCGAAATATGAGAGCTTGACGCCATTTTGGTTCTGGTCTGGGCTAAGTTAAAAAACTTTTTCCAAAAATCCAAATTTTGAATGTGTCAGGACAATTTTTAGATGATCAGGAGTGATGTGTCAAAGTTTCGGACAGTTTGGTCTAATACCCTTAAATAAAAGTATTGAATTCGAATTGACTGATTTGAAGGGAGCGTCACTTCACCTTAATAACTTTCAGTTGATTGCATCAGATATAGTAGCAGATCAAGCCGCATATTAAAGTAATTTGGTACATTTAACAAAAATATTTGATTTATTGACTGAAATATTTGCAAACATTAATAAAACAATTTAACTAAAACACCTTAGTTATTTTGAGGCAAACAAGTGTGGTCAAGTAATCTAAAATTTGGTTCACTCAACCAAAATGTTTTCTGAAATTAACCAAATGTAGTCAATCGATCATTTTATTCGATAAATTAAATCTTTTACCTGTACGGGTCAAGACAATTTTTCTCAAAATTAAGGAGAATAATCGAACATGCAAATGATCTACTCTGAAATGGTAATTTAAATCAAAATTGTTTCGAACATTCTTTCGTGTAGAAAAATAAGAAGAAAACATGCAGAATTCTGGGGTGAGAAAATTGAGCCCGATATTTGATTGAGATTATTAAAAGAAATTATGCACGTAATTGTAAATAATGAAACAAAGTGCTAACCTTCCTAGATTTGGATACACACCATATGCAAATATAAAATATATATGTCTTGTGTTTTTGAATGCTAAAGAAATAAAATCTATTCATTTTTATCTAATTTCACAGCAACTTTCTTTATAACATCTAAATATTGTAAAATTGCTTCAAGTTCGTTTATCGACTGTCCCTGACAAAGTTGATACATCCATGGACATAAGATACATGTACTCCGAACACCTAATTACTCCCTTAATATTCTTGTAACTGTAATAAGATTAATAGAGGGCGTATAAGAGATCATCTTTTCTCTTTTGCTGTCAGATAGTCTATCGCCATATTGCACTACACAACTGTTTTGCAAAATCAAAGAGAAGGCAAAAGGAAAAGAGAGAAAGTACCCCTTGTTTTCCGTTTCTCCAAGTTTCTGCCGTCACAGTTGAATGATGGACATCATATATATCACCCCCGAACAGCTAATTACTCCTTTAATATTCTTGTAACTGCAATAAAATAAAGGGGGCGAATAATGGACATCCTTTCTCTCTTACTGTCACATAGTCTGTCGTCATATTGCACTAGGCATCCGTTTCGTAAAATCAGAGGGAAAGAGAGAGAAAGTCTCTTTTTTCTCTCCAAATCGTTCTGCTATCACAGTGGAATTAGCATGCAGGGTCCATACATCCTACGTCCATGGATACATTTTGTTACCGCAAAACTAGTTATGTGCATGCTTTTCTACCGTTAATAGTAAAATGTATCCACACGAGCAGGCGCTATTTGCTAAAGACCTGAATACCCATTACTAAGGCTTAGTTTACACCTATCACTTGGTACACCTACTAAAGGTATGAAATTCTGAAATTATCAGCATAAACGATCGTGTATTGCTTTGGTACGGTATGCTGGAAAAGTGAGTATCGTACCTTCTTCGTACACTATTGCTTACACTGAATTTTATAAAATTACACCTTTTATACACGTACCAAGTAATCAATGCAAACTAAGCCTAAGAAACATTCATAGACACGTCTTCTCTGCATGCGTATTAAATAATACGGTTTATATAATCTATACAGATTTGATCGTTACAAATATTACAACCTGTCACAACATAATTAACAGAAAATAGTACAATGAAAAACTAATTAACATCGAATTAATCTTTAAATTCACAATGATAATTATTAAAATAAAACTGTGTTTATATATTTAAGATTATATTCCCAAAATAACATATACTTTACAATTAACAACATTTTTGATATCATAAGCATTAATTATGTACATACATTATAAAAATGATAAATCGGAGCTAGCAAATTACGGAATTTCCCTTAATATAATAATTTATCTGACAAAAATTTGGATGACAATGTTTAAACTTTATTTTCTGTAACTGCGACTGTAACGAGAATAGAAAATATATCTTATCGTATTTAGTATATACAACGGGTGATGTACCTGGTATCGATCGTATCCCTGCCCCAAATTGTATTCAACGTAAATGCAGAAATTAAACCCTTAACACGAATAAATAGTTACAACATATATTCATCCGTTATAAACAATAATTATTAGAAACGATGACGCAAAGCATCGATAAAACTCTTTAGTGTATCATCCGCACCGCAATCACCAATTTTTGTCAATCGGTGCTGTATACATCTCGGAGCGTTAAGAAATAATCCATGAGCACATATTCACCTATATTTTAATGCGTTCAGTGTTTACATATAAGTTTCTATATGCGAGGAGGCGATGGCTGGACCAATATCGGGAAGTTCGAGTGAAAGCGATCCCGCGTTCTAAGCGATGCATGCCGTATGTACTAGCCGTCAAAGAGAAAAAGACATTTCGCCAAAGAACGCGTGTCTCTGAATTCGCTAAAGCGCCCGGTACGCGCCATTAGGGAAATGTGTTCCTACCTGCTTAGCGCGTTGTACGGCAGCCGCAAACGCCAAATTTTGGGTAAAATTTTGTGGCGGAGCGACTGCTGAGTAATCACTCATGATGGACCATGAAGCGGTAGAACTTCACTCCGACGAATCCCTCTCTCGGCCGACCCCCTTGGCGGCAATTATAAGTGCCCACGGTCGCCCTCCGGATTTCCTTCGTATCCGGACCAGTCGAGGCGTTCCAAACAGCCTCGAGCTGCAAAGGCCTGCCTCTTCGAGCGTGGTTTCGACCCCACCAATTCCACGTACCGATACGTACCAATGTTTTGCACGAGAACTGTATCCCCTGTAATGTCCGCGCAATCTGGCAACGATTGCAATAGTGCGTCTTTCCGTCAGGTGTCGCCCGCCGCCCGAGAAAGCGTCGGTCATAAGTTACGATCACTAAATAACGGAAACCTAGGAGTGCATTATGGCCGGTCCACAAGACACCACCGAAATACACGGACTACGTCTTCACCGTACTCCTTAATCCGGGATTTATCGGGTCCGGATCCAGTAAACCGCATGTCTCTATCGCATTAATAATTACGCAAATTCGATCTAGGGGGTCTATTACGTAAACAAATTGAGCGAAAATGTGAAAAATGAGGTTACGGTATGTGAGTTCACGGTATTACGGAGCGTTTTTGGTGGTGAAAATTCGAGACCATTCATGTGAACTGGCTATGCATAGAGTTCTAAATCCAGTAAGTTACGTCAGAAATAAAGAGAAATTCCCGGTAACTTATCGGTAATTTCTCCAAAGCCTTTGTTATCGAGAAATTATGAGAATTTGAATTTTTCAACGGAGCGAACGAGAGGTTTCGATTAGCTATAGAGAAACATCGTAGAGGGAAATTTCCGTTGTACGTTCTCCGTAGCAAATCAAAACCTCCCATTCGCTTCGTCGCAGAATGAAATATCAGTTCGTTTGAAACAAATCACATGGAATTATACGTGAAGTTGTACATACGTGAATATTTTTAGCTGGAGGTAAATACGACCCTATAATCAATATTTTCTAATAGTAATTATTACTCTATAGCTTGAACTTTGAAGTTGATTGAAAAAAAAAAGTTATTTAAACGAAGAAACCTAAAGTATAAATAACAAAATTAATGTTCTCTTAAATTCTCAATGTTCCCGGTAACTTACGGTATGTTTCACAGTTACCTTCTCCAATTTAATGTTACCGAGAATTTTCGAACTCTAGTCCGGATCCAGTAAAGCGCATGTCTCCATCGCATTAATAATTACGTAAATTCGATCTAGGGGGTCTATTACGTAAACAAATTGAGCGAAAATGTGAAAAATGAGGAGTTCACGGTATTACGGAACGTTTTTGCTGGTGAAAATGTGAGACCATTCATGTGAACTGGCTATGCACAAATTTTTTAAGCGAGATGGTGAAGCATACAAGAAAAGATTAAAAAATAAGAGCCGTGAACGCCATCTTCAACGGATTGTGACACCGAAATTCAAAATGGAAAATCTCCCGAGTGTTTTGATTTTTGGCAACAATCGTATTCTGGGATGTAATAATAACCTTATTAGAAGAAGAAAGGAATTACGTGATACCTCAGACCCATTTTCGTTAGAAGAAAGAGAATTTACTAGGATGTACAGGTTAGTTTTTGTTATTGCGAGATTATATTACATTATTAAACATTGAAAACTGTTAAATAATTCATGCTTACGTGACATGATATGAAAATTATACTGTTGAACCTCTAATTATAGTATATGTAAATATGAATGTAATGCATATTTAAAAAATATAGATAGACTATAGTCCTCTTCTTTACTTTTAAAGGCTTTCCATCTTCCCGCCTTTCCTGCCTGTAACCCACTTAGAGTTCGAAAATTCTCGGTAACATTAAATTGGAGAAGGTAACTGTGAAACATACCGTAAGTTACCGGGAACATTGAGAATTTAAGAGAACGTTAATTTTGTCATTTATACTTTAGGTTTCTTCGTTTAAATAACTTTTTTTTTCAATCAACTTCAAAGTTCAAGCTAAAGAGTAATAATTACTATCAGAAAATATTGATTATAGGGTCGTATTTACCTCCAGCTAAAAATATTCACGTATGTACAACTTCACGGAAAATTCCATGCCATTTGTTTCAAACGAACTGATATTTCATTCTGAGACGAAGCGAATGGGAGGTTTTGATTGGCTACGGAGAACGTACAACGGAAATTCCCCTCTACGATGTTTCCCTATAGCTAATCGAAACCTCTCGTTCGCTCTGTTGAAAAATTCAAATTCTCATAATTTCTCGATAAAATAGGCTTTGGAGAAATTACCGATAAATTACCGGGAATTTCTCTTCGTTTCTGACGTAACTTACTGGATTTAGAACTCTAAACCCACTACCTATCAATAATTTTTGATTTACAAGGTACGTACTTTTGCACAGAGAAAATAGGTGGGCTGAGCGCCGCCGGGAACTAGGAACCTTTCTCCTTGGCGGGGACATAAACTATATAGTTACCAAGTTAGGCGCGCGTCGCCGTAGCCGACGCGCCATCTAGGGCGTCCCCACAGCGTTACACCCCGAACATGGCAGTGTCAGCCCCCTGCCGTCGACGCCACAAGTTATGAAGTAGGCGCCTGACTTACTCTCATCTTCTCTCTGGTAAAGGGTATAAAAAGGAAGAAAAACACTGTTATGGCTAAACCAGTCTAAACAGTTAAAATGCCTTCATGTATTGTACCAGGATGCAACAATAGATCAGGCGAGGCTCTTAAAGGAAAAGTTCAAAAAGAAATAGAAAAGGCAAAAGGAGCGAATATTACATTTCACAGGTAAAGGCAGATCTAAAATTTGCAGTTTCATTTTCGAGTGTATGCCCTATGCAATTATTCTGTGAAATATAGGCTAGAATATTTCATTAAGATGTACTTAAATTTCCAAATTAAAAGTAACAGAGTTTATTTAGTGAACTTGATTTATTTGGGAGTATAATATATTTTTTATGTGTTCATGTAGATTACCTTTAAACTTAATGAAACGAATGAAATGGCTCGATAATCTAGGCATATCTATGCCACAGCAGAAAAATCCAATGGTATGTTGTGTTCACTTTAAAGAAAGTGCATTCGATAAGACATCTCTATCTTGTGTCAGGCTGAAGGAAACTGCTGTTCCATGTGTAAGCATTGTAAAATAATAATGTATATTGTTTTTAAGCATATTAGGATTGCAAATGTTAATGAATTTATAAAATGTGTACAGGTCACGGTATCAGAGAATGAAGCAGTTTCGCCATATGAAACAAAATTTTTTATAAAGGAAAGTCTAGAACCGACCGTACAGATAACGATACCACGTGATGTTCCGATAAAACAAACAGAGATCGAAAATAAAAATAACTTGGATCGTACCGATGAATTGACTCTGAGATCTATGAAAGAGTCTAAAAATACAATGTATGACGAGTTGCAATTAGTTGAAGGTATTGACCATTGACTTGTAGTCTTTTTATCTTTATATTTTAGTGTTATACTAATTATATATTATACATATTAATTTCTAAATATGTATTAGTTGACTGAGGTATTTTCTATTCATTTTCAGAGAAAAGATTCGTTTATTCCTCTATGACGACATCTTCAGAGCAATTCTACAATTTACACAAGAAACATCAATCAAAAGCAAAAAGCCCATTGTCTATATCCAATACGATTAGTGATAGTTTACAGAAAAGATATTCCCATCGAACATTGGAAAATATGAAGAACTTTTATGAAAAAGAAATTGAGCTCCTCGTGCAGAAGTATCGTCAATTAAAAAAACGGGAAGCTTTATTGAGAGATGTTCTCAAATCCTTGAAAACAAAAAGATACCTGACAGGAACAACTGGAAGTTCTACGTAACATTAGTACATCCAATATTGATTTATTGAAGTATCATGTTAAAGTATAGAAACAACCTTTGTCAAGATAGTATTAGTCCTGAACTGTGTACTTTTATATTAATGTTTAATTAGTATTCTCCTTACATGTATAAGTATATTATAGATTAATTTAATCCCCTTAAAATGTACCTTGGCCAAATACATTTATTTTTCCTTAGTCAACTATAAAATTCACTCAAATCACTTTCTCCTTATGAAAAGCTCAACTTATAAATTTGGACTTATTACTACAGAACTTTCTTGCGATTGAAAATTCAAATAGAATATTTTTGTCGAATGGACCGTATATATTAAAGATTTTAAACTTTGGCGGTCAGAGCTGTTCTTTAAATTTCTTGTGGCTTTTGGGAATGACCCGCGTCCATTCCCAGTGAACACTGTTATATAACTGTTGGGTAAATGTTACGTTTCCGAAACTAACATGTTATGTAGCATAAAAGTAACATGGAAGTTAGATGTTAGTTATTATTTCCCACTCGGTAAGGTAACATGTTATGTAACATGTTATATTAATGTTATAATTTCAGTTACCTTAAAATAATATTAATTTTTCATACATTTAATAAAAAAGATCACGCAATTTTATCCAAAATTATATAATTTTTTATTTTTAATTATTTTTTGGTACTTGACAATAGTTAGATATTAAATGACAAATCAAACTTTCAATGAAATTATGTAATGATAAACTATCTGATTTTACTTAAAGACAATTAGGGTTTCATTCGACTAGCAAACAATGACTGATAATGTATATGCGCGTATGAATTAAAGTCACATTTTTTCATACGAGTAGTAAACAAAACATGACATATTAATCTTATGACATTTGACGATGAATTATGACAATGACGATGACGATGATGTAATAAAATAAATGACAGCACCAATGTAGTTCCGTTTTGTTATAAGTATGTGCTGCATATACACAGTAACATCAGAACAGTAACATAATGTAAGATGAGAGTAACAAAGTTATGCTACATTTATATAGATATGATAATAACAAGCGTTATGAAACCTGTTAGCTCCATGTTACATAACTGTTAAGTTCCTACATTGTAACAAATGTCTTGTAACTAATTAGCTCTATGTTATGTAACCGTTAGGTTATTACAATGTAACAAACGTTATGTTATTTGCTAGTTTTAAGTTACGTAACTGTTAGGTTTGGTATTCAGTGGGATGTTACGTCCCAACTTATTATTTTAATAATGTAAAGACACGCTCATGGGAAGCGAGCCCTGCATCGGGAAGAAGTAAGGTGCAGAACTGGCATTCCAGGGGACGCGCGGGTTTGCGGAGGCCGAGGGTTCCGCGATAGCGGAAAGTCCCCACGCTCAAAATCCCGTGTCAGCATCGAGTTCAAAATCCGGAGGCCGCTGTCGAGCTCCAGGAATCCGAAGACGCAGCAAAAGATGAATTCCAGCTTGGAGGGACTCTAGCCCCTACTCCTAGTCCAGGAGGCCCTGAAACACCAGGAGCTCGGTCGGGCGCTCATTACCGTTTCGAATTTAGGAGCAGTTGGAGTGAAGAAAAAATGGGAGAGATAATACCAAACCGAAAAAAAAATTTACCAAAGTGCACGAAGGGACTACTAGGATCCCATTCAATTCCAAGTGACTTACAAGAGTTGCGATAGGGTAGAACCTTAGAACCCGCTGATTTCGCTTGGAAACTTAAGGTTAGGCTCCACCCCCAAGGCCATCACCCCCTCCACGCGTATGACGGCAACCAGGGAAATCACCAACAGCACAGCTTATCGTTACGCACCACCCGTATGGCTGAACCTTTCTTCCATTTCCGGGCCAATCGCAGAACCACACCTACTGGCCATCGACAACCTTGCCAAGGAGAACTCTCCCTCGGAAATTCCACCCAGAACTGGGAGAACGGTAAAAACGGAATGGCCTTGGCCCGACTGGAGGAAGAAGCCCACAGCATCCAGGTCCAGCAGCAAAACAAAATTCACCACCAGCTCACAACCTACCTTCCGGTGGGAATCTCAACACCCACATTCTTCATCGCCCTTGCTATAAGCGTCTACCTCATCCGCCGATGAGGCCGCCACACCAGGTCACATCATCGCACAGCACCAGAACCGCCAAGGGAACCTCCAACCATCACTAGGACGATCCCCTTCAACCAGTTCATCTCAAGCCCAATCCCGATCGCGCCACCGCCTCCCACGACAAATGGAATCATGGCCCTTCTACCATTTAGAAGCTTAGATGTAGAACACTAACACTAACCAACGCGCCGAACCCTGTAATACCCGATCAACCATGCCACTTGCAAGCTGCAAGAAATAGGAGAAAGTCCCATCCAGGTAACACCCAGCATCGCGAGCATACATGGTTAATCGAGTAAATCGGCAACCCTAGGTCGTAATCCGCGAAAGCATCCTTCATTGGGCGATATTCCGTCTAAGAGGGGAGATGTTACGTAGGCACCTTCCGTACCTTAACGTAGGAAAAAGCCCTATTTTCCGATCACCGGAGCTAGCCATGGAAATCCGAATACGGAAACGCGATTAGGAAACTCTTGCGAAAGGATCCAACGAGTTCATCGGCCAAACGGCTCCAAAAGTCATCGACCGACCCAGGGCGAACAACCTGATGACTCCGCAACGCATCAGCACGACTCAGAAACACCACCCTCACCTGGGTCCTAGGAAACTCCCACCAATTGGAACATTCTGCTAATAAAACCAGCAGTCCGATCAAGACGGGAAGTCTTTTAGTCAATTTGTCATAAATCAACGTCAGTCGTCAGTATCTTCGAAACTTCGAGTGGAGCTCCTGGTCCCCGGTACTCCGTTCCTAGCGAGTCAGAGACCGAGACCATTGGATTCCCTGCCAAGGACCACTATCCTGCGAGCTGCAGTAGCGCCATCCGGTACTCTAGCGATCCAGCCACCGAGTCAGGACTAGACGGCGGCACTGCGACTTCCGTTGGACGGGAGGCTTCTAGGAGACCTCCAACCCTAAGGCACGCCACAGGACGAACGTGTCCACGCACAGTCATCCGACTGTGTCGATCAAAAGAGATTGTCACCGATTACGGCCGCTGAACAGGCCAGGTAGAGGATCCTTCGCAAGCTCGATTCATTCTCATTTTCATTCTAGTTTATTTATTAACCCTTCATCTCCGACCAAAACCGAATTCTAACCATTATCGCGATTTCCATGCCTTGCTCCGGTTAACCGGATAGATTAAGAATCCATCGACTTCCATTAAATAGCTGAGCTCGAATCTCAGCATCGCGAGACAGAACCACGCATAGACCGCCATTAAAACGGTAAGAATTCCCACGTCAGCACACCGGCGTCCAGTAACCTGCCGCCGCAAAAGCGCGCTATCGCGACACCCGAACCGCCGCGACGCGGAAGTATATTAATCTAGAGAAATTAGATCAAGGCACCTCGGGTGCCCTTCCAGCTGATTGTAGTTCAGACCTCACGTACGAATAAACGCAAATCTTAATACATTAGCCACATAGCCATTCGTCCGCACCCCTTTTCTATTCCTCACTCCCCTAGATCCCACCAGAGGAATTGATCTAGCCGCTCGGATCAATCTCCTCATAATCTTAAAATGATCGTTACGCGCAAGATTTGGGTAATCTCCATCTGAATTACTCCGGCCTCGCATCCGCTTGGCCGCCCGGTAACAAGGCCCAAAATTCGGGTAAGGGTAAAAGTCAAATTCCTATTGTAGGAATTTGGAGTGGTGAGAGTTGGAAAAATTGTTAAATGAATAAAATGGGTAAGAGTGGGATTTGGAAGGTTCTAATTGGAAGAGGAGTTGGAAAAAATGGGACTTCGGGGGATGAGTGGGATTTTGGGAGTTTTGGTTGGAGAGTTTGGCTTGGAATAGGGAAATTTGGGAAAAATGTTGCCAGGACAGGGAGTTTGACGTTCTTTTTTCTAGGAAGACTAAATATTTAGGATTTGAACCGAATTTGTGGCCTCGCACGTGCAAGGGTGGTGTCGGTTATCGCGGGGGTCCGTTCCCTATTTTATACTTCACGAGACTTAAAGTACCGAGACCCCGCTGTCTTACTTACTATTTCTCGGGGTCGGCGGGTCGCGGGACTGAAACAGGGTGGCTCTTGGCTATTTGAGTTTAAGAAAAAATGGCATCTTTATGAGTTCACTAGAGTGGCCTGGGCCTCCCGGTCTCAGCCCGATGTACGAGCCGATGCACGTGCAGGATTTATATATATTTTAATGGAAATATACTTGAATATGCATATTTATATTTGTTTATTTATTTATTTTTGCACGCGCAGGAAGCGTTACGCGGGATGTAACACTGGAAGGATTCAGAATAATACTTAAATAGTTTTCATTATTTGTTTTTGTTTATGCACATTTATTTCCTATAGTATTGCCCCTTGAGCGATTCAAATTCCGCGCTACTCCCGCAGCAAGTATGCCGCCCGGCCGGAGGCAGCAGTAGGTCCACGAGGAAGCCATCGATGCATCCCAGGGTACTCGTTGAACCCGATCAGTTCAGAAATACGTTCAAAATCGTTGTCGCCGTGAGACGCTGCAAACCGCTGGAGTGGTGAGCTGCCGTAATAAAAAATGTTTTAATATATTCTTTAAGAAATTGTGTAAATAATCATTTAACAAAAACTACGTGGAGTAGGTTAGAGACAGTTCATAATAATATGTAAATAATTATCATTAATTGTTTTTGTTTATAATAATTTTTTTTCTTTAGGAAATCCATTCTGCCTCTTGGGCGATTCAAATTCCGCGCTGCTCCCGCCGCTAGTACGCCGGGCGGCCGGAGAGGGCAGTAGGGAGTGAACCATCGATGAATGGCAGTGTGCATCCATATGTTGATTACGATTTGAATTTATGTCGTCTATTTTCATTTCCTTTAATTGATAACGAAGCTAACCAAGATTTATCAAACGTGCGACAATGGTGGAAAAATTGCGTAGATACGAGAAAATCGACTTTTTAGGAGAAGGACAGGTTAAGCCTACGTCAGAATCATATATTTTCTTGAATTTGAAATTACTTTTTTTGACATGATTGCATTTTTGTACTTGATGACGATACTAAAGGTAAAAGATAAAAATAACAACTATCATCTTTTTAATTTTAGTTTGCAACTGTATATAAAGCAAAAGATAATGAAGATGATAAAATCGTAGCTGTAAAAAAGGTGAGCGATGGGCTAGCACTGAATGAACCTTGACTTGACATTTATTAAGATTTTATTATTTAGATTAAAGTTGGAAGTCGTGCAGAAGCTAAGGATGGCATAAACAGAACAGCCCTAAGGGAGATCAAGCTGTTGCAAGAATTAAAACATGAAAATGTTATCGGATTGTTAGGTGTGTTTCTTGTCAGTTTATACTAAAAATTGTCTTAATTAATTATACTTGGTTTTAGATGTTTTTGGACACAAGTCAAACGTGTCACTTGTATTCGATTTTATGGACACAGACTTAGAAGTGATAATAAAAGACGTTACCATAGTGTTGACATCAGCTAACATTAAAGCATACATGATTCAAACACTTAAAGGCCTCGACTACCTCCACTTTAATTGGATTCTTCACAGAGATTTAAAACCAAATAATCTACTTGTCAATAGCGAGGGTGTTCTCAAGATCGGTGACTTTGGACTGGCCAAGTTTTTTGGATCTCCAAATCGAATTAATACTCACCAGGTGGTAACAAGGTGGTACCGAGCACCGGAGTTATTATACGGTGCAAGATTATATGGCACTGGAATAGATATGTGGGCAATTGGATGTATATTGGCAGAACTTCTCTTACGAATACCATTTCTACCTGGGGAATCGGATCTAGATCAGCTGACCAGAATATTTCAGGTTTGCATTCAAAGACGCTTATTCTTAATTCTTGCTAGTGTTATCATATATCACAAGTAAAACCAATATAGTTTTTTTTTTTAATAAGATTTTTAATCTTTGGAAAAATATTATTCCTGCGATAAGTTAGATTAAGCAAGAATGTAAAATTTAGAATAAGTCCCATGCCAAAAAACATTTTAACGTTATATTCATTGATTCAGACTTTGGGTACACCAACGGAAGAGACATGGCCAGGGATGACGGAATTACCTGACTTCATTCAGTTTAAGCCATTTTGTGGAACTCCGCTCAAACACATATTTACAGCAGCTGGAGATGATTTGTTGGACTTAATAGCGAGTCTGTTAAATGTGAATCCGTTGGCGAGATGTACGTGCGATCAAGCTCTTCAGATGCCGTACTTTAGTAATAAACCAGCTCCGACTCCAGGACCCAAGTTGCCTCTACCAACAATTGTTAAATATCAACCGGAAGAAAAGCCAAGCCTCAAACGAAAGCTCTTGGAATCCTTGGATGGTGCCTCTTTAGCCAAAAGATTACAATTTTAATATTAAATATATCAAAGGCGCGAATTTGTAGACTAATTAGATCATTTTGTATTGTACAGAAAATTGAAACGGCAGTTATTCAGTGATGTACCATCACTATATGTGATTTTCGGTATTTCTGATGCCACTTGTATTTATACATGTACAATCCGTTAGATATTCAGTTTAATGAATTTAGTTCAATTTTATATAGCACAACAGCAATGCAATCAGTGTCGGTAAAAAAAATTGCCGCTCCCATTGTCAGGATGCTACCAATCACATTATGTGATTTGTTTCACTGATTTACGATACGGACTCTAAGTTATCTCAAGTATTCCATTTTAACGACTTTAGACAAGGGAATTGCAATGAAACAGGGTTACCCCTTGAATAGAATAAAATATTTCGTCGTTAATTCTAGAAAGAACCTTTTTCAATTTTCTATTTTTTCCAATAAACTTTTATATTGTAGGTATCACGTGCGAAATTATAAATGATTTAACAAATTTTGATAAAATCCTGTAATTTATTTTCATTCATTCCTACTTATCGTTTTCTCGCTCGCCATTCCAATTGACACTAAAAGCGAATTATTTAACAGGGAAGTCCATGATGGAAAAAAAAACAAATGAACGTGTCATTAGATACTTTGTCTCACTTCAGACCTCACAGGAAATGATTGCAGACTAATTTGTAAGGTCAACGATAGCATGAGCGTGCATACCTGTAGTTGGGTCACTCTCAATTACAATGACTTACTCTCAATTATTGTACTCTTGCGAGTAAAGCAATCGTTTCTTTTCTTAGGAAATCAAATACATTAATTTCGAAACATTAAAATTTGCTTATGTCTATCGTAATTGGGCACTTATTTGTGTAAAAAATGAAACACTCTAATAAGACGATAACAAGTTAGGCTTTGAATTAATCTTTAATAGCGACTAATTAAATCTCGCCAGTATCAAATCTCGAGGTTTTCAGTACATTTCCAGTTAAGTGTGCGAACGAAGCCCCAGTAGTTCGAGTATCGGTAATGAAGTCGCAAGTGAGAACAATGTCGGTTAATCGGCCGTGTGATTAAGGTGAAGTGAAACACGTCGAGGAACTTTATCGACGTCGATAAAGAAGATTTTTCTAAATGCCTACGTTGCCGACGTTCGTTTTTATATCGACAGTTGGGTCGAATTATATTGGGTATTATACCAAATGGCATACTCCACCTGTCGTTTTCGTACAATAATTATAAAGAAATCGAAGTAAAACTCCAGAAATCTTCAGGATTCATGCTTTCTGGGGTCCTAATTGACTGCAGAGGGACCCCCTGCGCCATCTGTGATTTCCAGGTCAATTAAATTTTTACTCCGAGACCTCGTATTACCATCGTTTTAGCATAGAAGCGCATACAACACTTTTTTTTCCTTTATCCCGTTCAAATGCGAGTTTATCGATTACTAGAGTATTCTAAATTGTCATAAAATTGTCCTGACCCTTTGGATTCTTATATCAAAGCCTTCAATAACTGTATATCGACGCCATTTTGGATCTGGTCTGGGCTAAGTTAAACAATTTTGTTTAAGAATACAAATTTTTAATGTGTCAGGACAATTCTTAGATGATTAGGAGTGATGTGTCAAAGTTTCGGACAGTTTGGTCTTTTACCCTTAAAAAAAAGTGTTGTATTCGAATCGACTGATTTGAAGGGGGTTTCACTTCACCTTAAGGTGAAGTGAAACACGTCGAGGAACTTTATCGACGTCGATAAAGAAGATTTTTCTAAATGCCTATGTTGTCGACGTTCGTTTTTATATCGACAGTTGGGTCGAATTATATTGGGTATTATACCAAATGGCATACTCCACCTGTCGTTTTCGTACAATAATTATAAAAAAATCGAAGTAAAACTCCAGAAATCTTCAGGATTCATGCTTTCTGGGGTCCTAATTGACTGCAGAGGGACACCCTGCGCCATCTGTGATTTCCAGGTCAATTAAATTTTCACTCCAAGACCTCCCATTACCATCGTTTTGGCATAGAAGCGCATACAACACTTTTTTTGCCTTTACCCCGTTCAAATGCGAGTTTATCGATTATCAGAGTGTTTTAAATTGTTGTAAAATTGTCTTGACCCTTTCGTTTCTCATATCAGAGCCTTCGATAATTGTATATTGATCGAAATATGAGAGCTCGACGCCATTTTGGTTCTTGTCTGGGCTGAGTTAAAAAATTTTGTTGAAAAATCCAAATTTTCAATGTGTCAGGACAATTCTTAGATGATCAGAAGTGATGTGTCAAAGTTTCGGACAGTTTGGTCTAATACCCTTAAAAAAAAGTGTTGTATTATATATAATCGACTGATGTGAAGGGGGTTTCACTTCACCTTAAGGTGATATGAAAGGGTCAGCCTATGTATGTGTGTGTTATATATATAAGGTCAAATCTTTTGTGAACGTATTCTCCGAAATGAATGTACCGATTCGTTTCAAATTTTGCTTTGTGAATATGAAGGCCCTAAGATAGGTCCTCAAACGAAAGTCCTGAAATGTAATTTTTTATAAAAAAATGATTTACTCATCATGACTAGAACCAACATGAAGTCGTCTGTACAAGTTTTTGATGTCCTATGCTTGTTGAAGGCTTAGAATCGAAAATGAAGAGTCTCAGGACCTATTTCGAATAATTTAGAATATTAAAGAAATGGTATATTAAAGAGTCAAGTTGGGAAAATATGGAAAATACTTTCACGAACGATTGCAAGAGAATGCTGACTTGTCCCGTGGGTAACACGTGTGTTTAGAGCAAAAAATGAATTGCAACTAGCGTCACAGATGGCGCCACTGGCCCATTAGAGTATAAAAAATCATGAATCAACGGGATTTCGACGGTTTTACCTTGATCTCTTTATAATTATTCTATCGAAATGACATAAGAAATGCTTCATTTTGTATCATTCTTATCGTAGAATGTAACAAACGTAAACATGAATTCAAATCTCGATAACGTGGCGAGTCAGCTTATGTTACCACTTCAGTCTGCAAAATGGCGTTACCACCAAAAAGGTTATGGATAAATTTTAATTTATCGCCGTCGATTAAATTTCTCAACGCCTTTCATATCACCTTAATTGCGATGAAAAAGCTGCACTTCCGACGTTTAACAATAACAATCGATTGGCCAAAATGAAAGCGAAATAAAGACACGGACAATTCGGAGGAAAGTAACATTTGTTCGATTTATACCGTAATAAGAATAAAAAGAAAGAGACACAGACGTCTACCGCACCCAAAGATCGAGAGGGTGAGACCCTGAAGATTTCCATTTGAAACGAAAAAAAAAAAATCATACTATATTTACCATAATGTATACTATATTTTGTACTATAATACTTAGAACAAGTTCTGCAAATACTTCAGCGGATCAATTTAGAAGCAGAACGTACCCGTCTGACGTAAAAATCGACCTCCGTGAGAAAGTGACTTTCGATTAAGACGCCCCTAACAAGGAAGGTACCTGAGGTGTCCCCTTCCGATTTTGTTCATTTTTAAATATGTTATAGAGGATTAAAATCTCAGGGACCCGTGTTTTTTTTTTATTGGCGGATAAACACTTTTAGAGGGTGAAATCAGGCTTCAAGGTTGGCCGTGCAAGGGGGTGAGTTGGCTGTTTCATATAGAAACATTCGACTGATTCTCATGAAACAACCGTTAAAATGTAGGGAATGAAGAATTATGAAACATGCATTTGGAATTTTTCAAAAAATTCATTTTTAAGGGGTGAGCCACCCCCTTTGAATACTTCTTGAAGGCTTCACGGTTGGCCGTGCAAGGGGGTGAGTTGGCTGTTTCATATAGAAGCACTCGACCGATTTTCATGAAACAACCGTCAAAATGTAGGGAATGAAGAATTATGAAACATGCATTTGAAATTTTTCGAAAAAATTCATTTTTAAGGGGTGAGCCACCCCTTTGAATACTTCTTTTACCCTTTACGCGAGCAGTAATTGTTCTATCCAAATGAAACTTGTTTGTATTGTTCTGTTCTATAAATTAACCAAGTTTCATTTCGATAGAGTAATTGGAATTTTTCGCAAAAATTCATTTTTAAGGGGTTAGCCACCCCTTTGAATACTTCCTTTACCCCTTACGAGAGCAGTAATTGTTCTATCCAAATGAAACTTTTTTTGTATTGTTCTGGTTTATAAATTAACCAAGTTTCATTTGGATAGAGCAATTGGAATTTTTCGAAAAAATTCATTTTTAAGGGGTTAGCCACCCCTTTGAATACTTCTTTTACTCCTTACGAGAGCAGTAATTGTTCTATCCAAATGAAACTTCTTTTGTATCGTTCTGGTCTATAAATTAACCAAGTTTCATTTATACAGAGCAATTACTCCTCGCGTAAGGGGTAAAAGAAGTATTCAAAGGGGTGGCTCACCCTTTAAAAACGAATTTTTCGAAAAATTCCAAATGCATGTTTCATAATTCTTCATTCCCTACATTTTGACGGTTGTTTCATGAAAATCGGTCGAGTGCTTCTATATGAAACAGCCAACTCACCCCCTTGCACGGCCAACCTTGAAGCCTGATTTCACCCCCTAAAAGTGTTTATCCGCCGATAAAAAAAAAAACACGGGTCCCTTAGATTTTAGTCCTCTATAACATATTTAAAAATGAACCAAATCGGAGGGGGACACCTTAGGTACCTTCCTTGTAAGTAGAGAAACGAGAAACGCGAGGATTTTGCTCCTTCGACTCCGTAGGTGAACAGTACAAAAAGGCCCATGCTTAAACGTTAGAATCACACGTACAACTTAAAAAGCTCAATTCGACGTGCCTGTACGAATACAATAATAGTAAATATCGGCGAGAGATCCTTACAGTACACGCGTACGCTTGTTTTTCCAATTTCTCGCTTTATCCCATTCTTTGCGACGCTTTCTCTGTGCTCTTGCCATCACACTCGTAAAATCCGGGTTTTAATGCAATCGCAGGGTGTACGGAAAACCAAAATGCAGTTACGTGGGTACGTGTACGTACATACACACGGGAGATGCAATTTCTTTTTTCTTTTCTTTCCTTTTTGCAATCCGCATCTGCACCTAGAGAATGGGGCGTGCGTGTCTTTCGAGACGCGAACTTCTCGCAAAAATCAGAGATCGACGGGACTTGTGTTCTCATTAAACTAATGCAATCACAATATTACCATTCATTACACCAAATAACGATACAAAATAAACGCGTGTACAAACGAGCTTTACAATAAAAATAAAGGCTCTGCATTTCAGTGTCCGGGGATATCTACAATATCTCGCCCCAGCCTTCCGTCCTCTTCCCGCTCCTCTCCGTAATAAATTAAAAGAAACGCACGTTTGCAAATGTTTCAGGTGTTGTGAAAGGGTCATACTATAAACATACATCATAACGTGAAAATATTTATAAAACTTTTCTCCAAACTGGGTGCACCGACATTTTTTAAACTTCGACACGTGATTACGGAGGCTCCAAGGAAGAACGCGGTATT